ACCCAGAACATGCAGAATCACAGTTAACTTAGAGCGTAGCTAGCCTAAATGAATTCAAGTTAAGAGATTTCTACAATTTTTTTTGCGAAAAAAATAGGGATAATATTGAACATACAGGAAAATATAAGAAATTATTTCAGATATTATGATCAATGAGGTAACATGTTCATGTTTATCTGAAAGTAGCTTCCGCAATGTAAACTTTCAAATTAAATGTTATATTGGACATGACACATTGTATTCTAAATAATCAAAAGCAACAGAACATTGCTATACACCGCAAATGATCAGGGGTTTTTTATCTAGCGCAAGTGATTATTCCATAAAATAGAAGTATATTGCCAAAATTATCCCTGTTGAAAAGACTGCCAAAAATACAACTGCGTCGTATCATATTTTATTTTCAACTGCGTCGTATCATTTCGTAAAAATCATTATTTTCTTAGAAAATAAACATCTCTTTTTAATGAAATTTTAGTAAATGATGCAAAATTAAATTTCGAAGTTTATGGTGAACTGTGAAACAAATATATAATTGATTTGAAGGAAAAAACGATTGATAAAGCAATATGAACTGCGTCGTATCCACACATTTTCATAAAAATTCTGCCCCGCTTCGAGTTGCAAGTTCGCTATAACTTTTGTTTTACAAAATAGTTGTGCAAGCATCATATACCGAACGAAGCGGAAAATAGTGTAGCGTGTTAATACATATATCTTGTTTTCAGTCATTTCCAACAAAAAGAGTTATAAACAAAAACATACGTTTTTCGTTCCAAGATGGCGGCGTTTGTTTACATTTTGTAGGATACGACGCAGTTTTGATTCCCAGCCCTGTAATAAATATGTTTTGATGGAGCAAAATCATATGAAATAAAATCATTTATATCAGCTGGAATAGAGGCAGTTATTGATACATTCTATAGATATTAACTAACTAAACAAATCCTTACATTTGCATACTATTTGTTAACATGTTTAGTTATTTCTTTCGTTTAGGTAAGACCGAATTACCATATCCGTTGCAAAAGCAGAATCCAACACTTATAAATGACAAAATATAATTTCAAAAACATCCGTAGTACAATGTGACTCTTTCCTAAAAAAGAATGTGTTTGCACCACTAAACGACATTACGAAGGGCAATACTTTATTAATACCTATGTTACTATATATAGTAACAAAATCTAGGGTATTTCAGGGCCATTATGGCAAGATCTAGGTCATTATGCAATTTTGGCCGCCTCGCTACTCGGCATTATTTTTCCATAATGGGCGAGTGAATGAACGCACGTGCAGAATGACGTCATGAACTCTCAGTGACTTTCAAGATGGCTGCTGACGTTGAATAAACTGTAGTCACTTGCACACAAATTTTTTTTAAGTTTAAATGAAATAATTTATCACAATCAGCAAAGCTTATCATTGAAGATTATAAACTCAAGACAATAGATGACCCTCAGTAATTCCAAAAACGATTTTAGATTGACTGTAAGAAAAGATCGGAACCTAGACAGTCTCAGAAACCGTTCTTGAACTGTTGAAGGCACAAAACTTCATGAAAAACTAGCACTAGATCTAAATGTATTTCTTACAAAAATGTGAAGAGTAGGATTCTGTATTATCGATGAAAACAACAATAAAACAACATTTTCTTATATTTATTTGTGTTGTCTTGTTTTCTAAGTTAGTCGGAGTCGTACACTTTTGTAAGGAAAAATAAGAAAATTATCTTATAGTTAAAAATTCTTCTTATAATTGATATTATTTTGAAAATTACATCCTTTGCCCATAAAAACTAATGACCAAAACGTTTCTATCTTAAGTAGGTCATACTTCTAGGCGCACTTGATTTTAAGCATCAGGTATGGGCCAAATATGATAAATAGTGGACTCGGTTCCGCACACAAGGCCATTTTTATACTGAAAGGTTATTGTACATCTTAAACATGTTTTATAAATTATTTAACATCTCTAAGTCCAGATAAGTTATATTGTTTTGCAAAATTTCAGTAGTTCAAATAAATTTAAAGCACATTCTTACTACAGTATACAAACATTTATTTCCAAGCATAGTAGCACACAGGAAACATGTAACAGCAATTGAAATATACTTTTTTACCACTTGTAGGTAGTAAACACAGACATAAAAAAAATATTGTTGAAGGTTTTTTCATCTGTTTTAGTTATGACTTGTTCGATTAAGAGTTTAGTATCATTTTAAACAAAAGAATCAAGGTGAAATGACTTGACATTTGGTTATTGGGAGAAGTTAAATCATGTGCATATATTTCATAACTAACAGCAAATTTGCCAAAACAAAAACATACATTTCTTTTCAAATATATATTTTATAAATACCTTAACATTGAAATAGAAATTAGCATGGTTTAATTGCTGAAAAAGATGTTTTTATGTGTGACCTACACAGCCATGTACATGTATTTACATTTTCGTCTGCACTCTCTAGGGAAAGGCTGGGGTGCAAGATCCCAGATGATGTCATATCCTGTTGAAAACATGCCAGTTCAGTAAAACACAAATGAAAACTGAATAAATTCATTTGAATTTTCAAGAAAAAATGAAAAATGGGAAAGTGTGCGGGACCGGGTCCTGTGCGGAACCGGGTACACTGACTCTAATCGGAGAGTTAAACTGTACAGTATGACAGATATTTGTTTACATTGACAACTGTCCGTTTCTTAGAAAGGACAACCAAGATTATCGGCGATGTCTTAATGCCGTATTTCGGACATAGGTATTAAAGACGTTAATACATGTACTTGGTTGCTGCTCGCCATTATGCGATAATGGCCTTCGGGTTCATAATGTCCTTCGGGCCTACGGCCCTCAGGCCATTATGCACATCTTCGGGCCATTATCGCATAATGGCGAGCAACAACCAAGTATTAACCTCTAAATAAATAGACTTTTAAGAAGGAGTTAAAGGTTGTGAAAGTTGTGCTTTACTCAATCGGAACACCTCGACTATGTTTTATAATAAGTATTCATATCCGAAGTTTGACGGAAAGGTCCGAAAAGTTGCGATTGAGTCAACATGAAGAATTAATAAAACTTAAGCCAAATGATTTATCTAATTTAAGCAACACGCAGGTCACAAGTTCGATCAAGGTTGTCTGGAAAAAACAAAAAATCCAAGGCTTAAACAATTTGATATACACGTACATATGTATATTCTAATTCTGATAACAATCCACTATTTCTAATTGCGACATTTTAAATATGGCGAAAAAAATCGGTTTCCACATTTTTTTAAAGAAAATCCTTTAGAATATCACTTCAGGCATACTTTAATCAAACACTGCGAAACCTTACAATATAACAAGCGGCTTATATACATATATACATATTTAGATTGTATTGATGTAGTTGTTAGTAATTGCTTTCCTAATGGATGAAGATCAGCAAATGTGTGTCAATGAAGTTGTGTATCATTTATGTCTCTGCCATGAAACTATACCTGTATATCATTTAATTAGTATTAAATATCATCAAATGTGAATCCGTATCAATTTTGATGAGTCAGTGTAAATTTTCATGTCATATTAATTTTCATATGAGATCAATCAGTAATTTTCCTCACGTTCTATTACCTAACCACCTTGACTGTTTAATTATCGATGTTGAGTGCAGAAGAACCGTAAAGATTAGTACACATGTTCTTCATTATAGAAAAAAAATACAATACATAAGATTTATATCCAATAGGAAATGGACAGTCGGATATCTTGAAAATTGAACTAGGACAAAAACTAAACGATAAACGCTGATAAACCAATCGATCATGTCAAAAAGTAAGATTAAGACTTAAAAAAACTTCTTTTTTTGTTGTTGTTGGTTCTTCTTGTTGTTGTTTTTTTGGCGGGGGATGATGTGTTGTTGTTTGTATTTATTTATTTATTTATTTATTTATTTATTTATTTATTTATTTATTTATTTATTTATTTTTAATGTACATGTAATTATATTGTTAAATATGAATATTTTATAATTACAAATGTCTACATTTTTACATGTTTTAAACACATAACCTTGTAACACGTTAAAGGCCTAAACTTTAATTACTTTTGTTCGCATGAAGAAATGAAGACTATACTGGGCAGGAACCAGTTTCCGGACAATACCAGTTTCCGGACAAGTATTATAACGGCTTAATTTTGGCTTTATCGATGATGATCGGTATTAATTACGTCATGAAGATGCTTGGTTTGATTGTTTGAGAAAATAAACATCCTTCCAAGTTGATTCATCATTAAAATTTCATGAGGATATCTTACCTGTGTTTTAAAAACAGCCTTATATCCCTTTGGGGCATGTAATTTGTTCTGCGCATGCGCAATATTTTGTTTATTTCGGGATATAATTTGGGGTAGCAATTAATGCACAATGTACTTCATTCGAAGTTCATTGGGCGCAATTCCCCAGAGCTAAATCTGTAATGTATCGGAAAACGGTGTTTAGCTAGGTTTACTACACTTTCGCACTTCGTTGCTGCCGTACACACAAAAATATCCGTTTCATATTTCAGTCATTCCGAGACCAATCACGTGATCGTTATTTTTCCTATCATAAACATTTTTCAGTAAATCAGCTTAATTATATAAGAAAGCTAATATGTGAGAAGAAATTTTTTGTTATATTAGACTAATTATCAGTTAAAAACAGATATGAATAGCAGCTTAATATATGTCCGGAAACTGGTTCTGCAAGAGTGAACAATTTACACTTTTGATGACCTAATTAAACCCTTCAGTTTGTACATTGCTTACGTCACCAGGCAGTATTAATTGTGTTATTGGACGTAGTTAGAGCTCAGGTTTTTGGTATGTTAGTTTTATTAATGCATGTTTATTATTAAAAAATAGACAATTAAAAAAACTCAAATTCTGTCCGGAAACTGGTTCCTGCCCAGTAAACTTGGAATACTTTTGTTCACTGGAAACAAAATGAAAATTCTGTTTAGAAATTTGTTAAATTACCTTCGTGGTAGCAGTTACTATATGGAGATATCTTTGTCCACTGCCGGCTGCATCCTGTAAGGTATATATATATATAGTTTATGTTACATATATTATTAAATACTGCATGATATAATTACATTATCATTCAGACATCTGACCAATTAACCATGAAACCGAAGAATGACAGAAAGTACTGGTTAATTTGTATGTAGTCTGAAAACAGAATTTATCTTAGTTTCATTGTGATAGAAATAATAAGCTCATATACACCCTCCCCATTCTGCTCTTGGAACTAACCATGCAGTTATTAGCAATGGGTGTTAAGATTAACGGACGGGGGTTCAACCCGCGCGGCCAGCAATCCTTAGATTACCAGTCCAACGCGATAACCACTAGGCCACGCCACCACCTGTTGTTATTTGATAGTTATAGTAACTTACCGTCATTTCGTTCTCGAACCAGAACCCTGTCGGTGTTAGCAGTTTGTCATTCCTCCAGCAGACTATCTGTGACCGATTTACGCAAGATTTGTACAAAAGATGAAACAAGTTCTGTGGCGGATTGATATCGGGTGTGTAGAACTCGCACACACCGCCTGTTAAATCGGTAAAAGCATCAAGTGTTCTCCCACATTCATTTGCCTCATATGTTTTCTTGCATCTGTAACAGTTAATTACAATTTTAACAAGTCAATCTTATATTATTAAAGTAGAACGCTGGAATAGCGCTTAGATTCCTACTCACGTTAACAACGCTGCGATATACCACGATTACACCTAAATATAGTAACAACAAGAACATTAATATAAAAAAAAATCTAAAAGTACCTCGCTTGATCCTTTTACTTGCCTGTGGTGTTAATTGTAATGGTTAAATTATTTCAAGTTTAGGATTGTCATTTGTATCAGAATCGTTATAAGACGATCATGAGCATGTCCTAAAAAGTACTTATAGTTCTTCAATAAAGATGCACTTACTTGGCATACGCTTTTTCAACAAGCGGACCCCAGAATTCTCGTGGTGTACCATACGCCTGGCAGTATAACAAAGTATTGTCCATTGTAGGAAGGTGGTCGTCCACTACAATATCAATCCATTCCCCGAACCGCCAAAGTTTAAAACAAAAGCACCCTGTCAAAAAAAAAACTGATTTAATTCAGACTTTTCCTGTGCACGTATAATTATTAGAGAGTTGGATATAGAAAAAATAAAATCGAATTATATTGTGACGCACGAATGCCTTGATATAGCTTGTGTCTATAAATAATAAAGTTATTATTATAACAATTACTTGTATATCATATCGGCAAGTTCAAAACAGTACATCATAATTATTTTCTTATATTATAAGATTTTATGAACGAATTTATTTAAATAAGGTTAAGTCACTCATATAACATGTAATCTAGCTCCATGGAAAAGTCTAGCAGTACACGGGCGTCTTAAGTTTTTGACAAAGGAGACAGGTTTTAAACATTATCAACTTCTATTTCCGAAAAAAAGTGTCAAAATTCAACGAATATCTGTCACTTCTCTTATGCAAACAAAGTTTAAAGCGGAATGTGAAAAAATACGGAAATTATTTGCTACTCTATATAAAGTGTATCGTTTGGTTTAATAAAGTTATGAGAGATGTCTAGATAACCTTTAAAAACATCTACTTTCCAAGAATTGCATGTAACATAACTGTATTTATGTGATTTTCGAGATCGTCGTTTTGTTTTACATTTTAAGCGTATTTCAGGGTTAAAACATTGTATCTATAATCACTGAAAGTTGTATACATGTACTTTAACTGCACATATAGCAGAACAAGGTCATTCATGATAAAAGGTCAAGGTCTGTTGTATTCAAGTTTAAAGACAATCCATTTAAAAATATAAAAGTTACTTGTATAGCTACTATAAGCAAAACTTAGCAAACATCAAGCAAAATTTAACCATTTGACCTTAAAGGTCAATGTCATTTATTAATAAAAGTCAAGTTTAGTCTAGTCTAATAGAAGTTCTTGTCCAAAGGGTTGTTGTGGCCAAGTATGAAGACAATACACAAAGAACTTTAAAAGTTGAAGTTTGCGGACGGCAACGGGAACGCCGACATGACTGTACCAATACCTTTACCTTTTTCTTCGAAAAAAAATAGAGCTTATAGAAACTGTATCATAAAATGTATCTAAACTTTGCATGGCTTTAAAATTTTATAACAAAAGAAAACATTTCAGTGAAAAAGGTCCACCGACCTTGTTTTCAAGTTATCTGTTTTTGGAATTTGAAAATGTATTTGCATAAATGCAACTCTAGTATACGCCTTTATGCCTAGAATGTTCACATGCATTTATTAATTTTGCTACATAATATCTAAGCTCAAATGATTCTCGTTCAACTTATAATGCAAATTAATATCAATACAATCTGCCCACGTCCTTAAATTTAACCTTCTGCAATAAACATGATCGAGAGATCAAAACCCTTTGGTCTTTTATCGCGCGGTTAGAAACTAGGCGAGTTGCCCGGGAAACAAGATGATATGGTGAAGATAATAAGACTTGAAATGCAAACTTTGCACAAATATTGAGAGATAGAGAGAGAAATACATGCGCTATCTCATAACTGACAACTTAACAGGTAGAACATATTTTTAAAATGATAACTAATTCGTTGTCTTTTTTTAATGTATGGATATTGTTCTGGAGAAAATATCAGGCCCAGTGTTCACTTGAGTTTTTAACTTTGATCCTGATCATTAATCTAAGTGTGCATGTGATTTCAGACAGGCGTTGTTTTGAAAGCAGTTTTTAGTTATGTCTCTTTTATTTTTGTTAGAATTGTGTCTCTTTTATTTTTGTTAGAATTGTGTCTCTTTTATTTTTGTTAGAATTGAGAATTGTGTCTCTTTTATTTTTGTTAGAATTGGATATTGATATAAAATTTTGAATTTTGAATTCTATCAGAGATGTAATATTGTACTCATTATGCTTGTTGCTAGCAAATCTGAAGAACAAGGGAAGAAAATTAATGCTCTGTATTTCTTTAGTTATGCTCCTTTTTCATACTAATATCTTAACATTCACAATCACAAAGTTATTCAACTTAATCGGAATTGAAGTGCATAATGGCCATAATACTATGTACAACATACTAAAAAAAATATAGTTGCTACCCTAATACGGTGTGTCACGCTCTTGATATGGTGCTAATAGACGAGTTTTATATGGATTACAAGTGTGAAAATGAGATAACACTGTGGTAATGGTACTAGAAAATAAGACTAAAATAGCTTTATTGATATTCTGTGGACTTAGTATGAAGGTGATATTTCATCTTTAAGGAAACAGTATATAGGATACAACTATGTTAAAGAACACCAACCTTATCAGTACATTTAGTGATGTTCAATTGTCCTCATTACATACACCACGTGGCGTGTACTTGCTTCGTTTCATTGCAAACTGATCAAAATTAAAACGTTTAGAGCGTGACAGAATTGAAAATGATGCAGTAAGTCTGTTTATGCTTGCTCCCGCACACCCCGCTTTCACCAACTCACGCAATTCTAACTCTCACCATACAAAATGCAAAACTCTATATCAAATATCCTTATGTGTAGAATATCTTTTTGTGCATTTCTTTTTGCTGATAAACTGCACTTTGGAATTATATAACATATTTTAAAGAGCCTTAGATCTGTTTTATAGATGCACTCACCTATATAGTCCGTCTGCAACGACTGGTCAAAGTTCCTGTATCCAGGAATTAATTTGTCCATCAGTTTAACATTTAGTGACACGACGGCAATGGCGGCCTCGAACCACGTGGTCTTCTTCCATGATTTCCATGGAAACGGCGTTTCATAAGCACCGCCAACCCCAGCAAAGACAGCATATGAGCAGATTTCCTAACAAAGCAGTAGATTTACTTACTCATTGGCTGCTGAATGTTACATTGCATATGAATTCAGTATTATAATAGAGAAATGCAACATACAAAAGATATAAATTAAGTCAAAGAAGAAATGAGCCGCGTCAAGACAAAACAAACATAGTGCGTTTGCGATCAGCATGGATCCAGACCAGCCTGCGCATCCGCGCAGTCTGATCAGGATCCATGCTGTTCGCTATCAGTTTCTCTACTTGTAATAGAGTTGGTAAGCGAACAGTATGGATCCTGATCAGACTGCGCGGATGCGCAGGCTGGTCTGGATCCATGCTGGTCGCAAATCCATTATGTTGGTTTTGTCGTGACGCGGCTCAAATATAGATCTAGCACAGTAGTAGTGCATGGTAGAAACGTAGGAAGTAATGGTAAGCGGGAAACATATGACGGATGTTTATTTAAAAAATAAACGAGAAGTGTGACGTAAAACATTGAAAGACGGGTGACGTTTTTAACCAACACGAAACAGAGAAATCTGGCGTAATACACAGATAAGTTTCAAGGAATTGTGACATAATACATTGGTAAGTTTCAAACAAGAGCAGACGTAAGTAATACAAATGTATATAGTTACAGTATGTATAAAATGTATTGTTACGAGGAAAAAAGCACTAACTGCGGCGACATCGAGGGATGTTTCTGTCAAAAAAGAGACTAAAGAAGTAATAGAAATGTACATCGATATTATTATTACACGTAATTCACTGTACAGTGATAAGTGGCATTGGTCATGTTATACAGGCTTACTGAGATGCTTGGTCACACAGAAATGTGACGTAAAACACCGAAACATTGCAAGGAATTGTTGCTAAATATGAGTTTACCTTTGGCCGTTTAAACACCATTTTCTCGTATCGGTCATCTCCGCTGTATACGTAAGTTAACGAGGACTTATCGGGTGGGAACGTATAGTCCGTGAACAGCTTTCCATTAGATAACGCGTTTGGTAGAAACATTAACTGAATCCTGGCAAAGTCCTGCACGGGTACTTCACACGAAGTTTTTCTCGAGCTCATCCTTGTCCTAGATGAAAAATAGAATATAAAAAATATGATAACTACTTTCCGAAAGAAGGGGAATAGAATTTGACAAGACTTACTGCAACACGTACACAATAAAGCTAAACAATGCCTTACATTTTGTTCTAAGTAATAGCTCATCGGCTTATTCCTATCCTATTATCCATATAGGCATATACAAAAGTGAATGAATTGTTAAAGACATGTCGTTCTAGCATTTGTTCAAAATAGGTTTTCCATTTACTCTAATTGTTATATTAATACAATTTTCTATAAAACACGACACTTACCTTAACTCTCACTGAAGTACGACATATCATAAATTCTAGAACTGAAAAAAAAACTCTCTTGTATATTGAAATTCTATTCCATTTAAAAATTATATGTATCTCGACATCTTAAATATAAAATATTACCAGTACTGATGTCCTAGATTTTTCTCTATGACATTGTTTTTATATAGAATCAGAAAATAAATATAGTCATTTTCGAGACAATGGTCCTTAAAGTTTTGCATATGGTATGACTCTTAGAAGAAACTTTCTATCATCTAATTATATGAACATCTTGGAATGCGAATCAATCATTGAACTGACAAAAGATACATAATTTTTAAAACAACTCATGGAAATGCATTTCATACCGATTATGCTTAAATCTCATTTTCAAAATGAATGACAGATCTATATAATGGACGAGTAAGAAAATGTGAAAATTACTGACGAACTTGATATTGCCTACTTATTCATTATTCAACTGTCAAATGTGAGTATGGTTATGAAACTGAATGTATGTATAATGTATGATTAAAATATATGCAATAAATATGTTTAAACCAAATGTGAAATAATTTACGTCATCTCATATTTTGATTATTTATTAAGGATTCGTAAATGATTTTTCAATTGTCCCGTAAGTGACCCAGTCTCCAGATGCTATGAATTGACAGAAAGAAAAGTTAATACTTCGAAATATATATTTGTACTGATTTAAGATTAACTTATATTTATTTATGAAATAGAGCAGATATTCTTTTGGCAAGATTGGGCCGTATTAACAATTGAACTGAAAATAGTAAAAACATAAGTAAAAGATCGTATTAATGGTCTTGCAAGTTCAGCAAAATTGCTAAATAAGCATATAAATCAAAGTTAGTGTAAACTATAACAACAGTACAAATCAAAACAAATATTTTTTCTCAGAGAAATATCACTTTTATTGAGAAAATCACTGTTTTATAATTTTCTTTCGCTCTGGTCATTTACGGGACACATCAATCTTATTACTATTATCAAAGTCAAAGTCAAAAAACTTACAATTCTAACAATTGAACTGCAAAAATATCTTACAATTGAACTGCAAAACAGTGTATAGTATGTTTGTTTAAACAGATATTACATATCTAGATAAAGTAAAATATTTTATATCAAGATGCATGAAAAGTCATATACCATTTAACTGAAACATCAATGAAAATGTTATAAAGTTTTCAGAATGTATTTATTTTAGGACAAATGCTAGTTAGTTCTGTCCATATCTGCTTTAAAGAAACTTCTAGCTTACAATTTATACAATAAACTCTAAAATTATTGCGTATACACCGATAAGCGTGGAATCAAAATTTCCTATTACTCGAATGAATATTCCCCAATTGAATTAATCAGTTCAGCCAGATACGGAACACGCCGGTTTTCATCTTTAATTAAATTTTGTGATTGAAATATAAGTTTAAATGAATTCATTCATGAAAGTAAGTATCCATTGATCTTTATAATAGTCAAATCGCCTAATATCAATTACAATATCAAAATTATGATTTAAGAAGCTATCAGCAAGTCAAAAACACATTTTAGTTACTTATTCTTAAAAATATGGATACTTCTTTGTTTTCGTAGAAGAACACTATTCCAATAATTCCAACATCCATAAAGGAGCATAACGAGCAAAAACATACCGCTTTGTTAAATACAAATATGCCGCTTTGCTGAATACAAACATGTCACTTTGTTAATTACAAATATGCCGCTTTGCTAAATACTAACATGCTGCTTTGTTAAATACAGATATGCCGCTTTGCTGAATACAAACATGTCACTTTGTTAATTACAAATATGCCGCTTTGCTAAATACTAACATGCTGCTTTGTTAAATACAAATATGCCGCTTTGTTGAATACAAACATGTCACTTTGTTAATTACAAATATGCCGCTTTGCTAAATACTAACATGCTGCTTTGTTAAATACAGATATGCCGCTTTGTTGAATACAAACATGTCACTTTGTTAATTACATATATGCCATATTGCTGAATACTAACATGCCGCTTTGTTAAATACAGATATGTCGCTTTGTTGAATACTAACATACCGCTTTGTTAAATACAGATATGCCGCTTTGTTGAATACTAAGATACCGCTTTGTTAAATACAGATATGCCGCTTTGTTGAATACAAACATGCTGCTTTGTTAAATACAGACATGCCGCTTTGTTGACCGCTGTATCTGTGTCGTCATTCAGTAGAGACCATTATGTTGACAATGTTCACTATACATGTAGATATGTCACTTTATGCTAATTCAAGTTTTAAGTATACATCAAAACAAGCACTAAAATATTGTTTGATGGTGTTGTTGTTGATTTTAAGAGAAAATAAAAAATAAAAATGAAAATAAATATTCTTTACACTAGAAATCCTGTGTTCGGTATGATTTTGCATCAAACAGAAATGACATTTATTATGATATTTATTTATTATCTTATCTTTTATCTGCGCCAAAGTCAATGAGATTTACTAAAACTGATCACTTTTGTATAATGTGTGCGAATAGGCCTTGCTCAAACTGTGCGAATAAGTGACAATAAACCATGTGTACTTCTTTTCAAAGTTATCCATGGCGTAATTTGTTCGACTATCCCTTGTTTAATTTTTGCGAAAAATCTAGCATATTATTATAGCGAAAATATGTTTTAAAGCCGTGATTAAAAAAACTTTTTTTCTAAGTCAATCAAAACCATTAAAATGTGCCACGGGAGGATTGGTGAATCTAATGGTCGCTATATGAGATAAATGCGGTTAATTTGCTAGTGATATAGTTCTCTGGTGTTGTTTTGTCTGTAAATGTTAAAACGGTTGTGAACTAAATCGAATCGACAGTTGCCGATACTAAATAAAAAGTACTTTGCTTAGTAATTGGCAACAATATTGTCTCAATTACACTATTTAAGCCCAACAGTAAATAATAGTGATTTCAACAGTTCCAAATCTAATCCAGTTACCTCTCTGGCGTGGGTTCGATCCCCGGGAGATGCTTTGGTAGTTTAGCGTGGTGGAAGGTAGTCAGGTAGTCTAGTACTGGTGTAACTCTCCAGGAACGATGGTTAGGAAACTACCCGCCTTTATGACTGAAATACTGTTGGGAAAAGGCGTAAAATTAAACAAACAAACAAAGTTCCAAATCCCCGTGAAATCACTCCGTGTAATCAACAGGCGTTGATTGGTGGGGATACGCTAAGGGTATAAGGGTATAAATATTTTGTTTTGCAGTTATAAACATTTACAATGTACATAGACAAATATTAAAGTACATATAGATCTAGTGATCTGATTCGACTACATTAAAAAAGTAAAAAAAAAAAGTTGTTATGACTGGAGAAAACCGCAAATTATTTTGAAACGACCTTATCTAATGCCTTGGTTGAAATAAAGGATTGTGCATTGACATTTTGCAGAAAAATAAATGTAATTAATCTAAAACCCGTCTGCTTGCATGAAATCATGCCGTGTTAGTATAAAAAATATCGTACCATAATTGGACTGCAGCGGTTTTTTCACCACATACACGCTGGTTCATTATGATTGCCAGTAAAAAGTCACGGCGTGGGATTTTCAGAGATGGCATTTAGACCAATAACTAATAAGTTGAAATTTTCAGACTTCCATTAGTATGTCTCGAAACACGGTCTGAAATAATCATTAGTCTGTGGCAACACATTTCGTTCATGAAAAAGCAAGATTCGGATAATCAAAGTTCTTTTGACAAAATGTCGCATTGTATAGTAAATTCTGCGAAAAAATATTTCTTCTTAAAGTTATAAATAGCAAATTTATGCTTACAGAACACGATCAAATCATACTGTTAAGAAGGCGAAGAAATATATTGTATCTTCACCAACAATATTTTTCATAAAATGTTATTATGTATTCATATGGTAAGCTAAAATATGCAAAGGTTTCATTTGTTATTGGTCCTCTTAGTCTGTTCTGATAACGCAAAACGGACTTAGTAAATATGATGCAAAGTTCTTAAACAAGTTTCACCCCCGCTCAGTATCTTTGTGAGAGATCCTTTTTGTATCATTTGTGCATTTATGTGTTCCACAAACTCATTCCTTGCAGTGTTTTATTGTATTTTGTGACACAAATGATGAGTGTTTGGGATTTAACTGAATGTTACTGACATTGTAGAGGACACAGGAAGGCTTTCAAGCTAGAAGACTCAGGCACTCAATATACATTAATTATTTCATAGCTTATATAGCGCCCGGGACGTGAGGTGTTTTAGTACCAGCGATTTTGACGATGGTAGCCCCATATTTCACATACGTTTATCGACAATTCGCCAATATTTCGTCCGTAGAGTCTCAGAAATTTAGCAAATAGATCAGCACTTAAGGATGTTGACCGTTGCTTATACTGTAATAGTAATTATCTTATTTACACCTCAGGCGACTGGAACAAAACGTGACTAGCCAAAGCTACCAGATAGTAGAGTAAGGCAAGTCTGCACATAGCGCAGTCTTAGCAGCGTCTGAACTGTATGTAGCTTTTTTATCTTTCTTTTTTTACATTTTAAATACTTTAAACATCAAATAGATGTTAACAAATTGAAAGCAGGGCAAGTGCGGTATGCAAACATAGCAGGTAAAGGTGTTTTATTCTGTAACAGGTTATCATATTTATTCATTGGCCATTCTATTAAAATGTCACTTCATACTATCAGCA